TCAGTTAATGAATGCGAACAAACATTATCGATTGACATACAGTCATAATATTTTTATTACAATACTGATTTTTCCCATATGTTAACAATTGGTGTTTGAAACTCGCGCGGAATACTACCAATTTTGATATGGTGCTGCACTCTATGCTAGCTTTCACTGAAGAACCTCATTGTTATAATACATAAATATACATGGAAAAACATTTTATATTAACCATGATGCGTATTACTAACAATCAAATTTGCGCATCTCTTTCTTACATATTTAATAAATGAATATGTAATAACTCTCTGTAATATGCAGATAGATTGACAAATTTGATCAGGAATTGCCAAAAAATTTGTATTGTATTCACATTAAGCTTGTGTTTTGTCGATAACTTGATAACAGATTAGCGGCAGAAATCGAGCAGAATGTCGAACACAGATTCTATTCTATTTCCGCTACCAATTTGCGTCAAACCGCGTAGCAAAAATATCAAAGTTCATTTGATTTCTGTCATTGATCTGTCATCTTTTATTGATAAACTTTGTTATATATCTGTCAACATTCTACTAACAATATTGTATATACTAAATTTTGTATCAAATCTAGTCTTTCTGCTGACAAAATTTATAACAGATACTTTGCAGAGTTTATTTTCAACATACTCTGGCTGTTGGGTAAAAAGTTTTGGTACATAATTTATTGTTATTATCAAAAACGAAGAACTTGAGTCGCCAGTGAATAATTAACAATAAGCAAAAGTATTGTGATCGACCCAACTGGCAAATTTTATTGTTCATAAAACGCTACGTTTCGACAATCAACCGCAGATTCAAGACCACAATCAAAGAATGCGGTCGAAACATAGCGTTTTGTGAACAATAAAATTTGCCAGTTGGGTCGATCACAATACTTTTACTTATTGTTATTATGTTAGAGTAAAGATAGTACTCTCTAAATATTACAATAATGTAATCTTAACGTAAGCTGTGACAAATATGTTTTTGTGTGTAGTACGTTTTTATACTCTACAGTGTACAATATTTTATAACATTGTTTATAGGTACCTCAACAACAGCAAGTACAGCAGGTACAAGTGCAGCAACAACAACAGCAACAAATAATACATACAAGTCCACCTAGAGCAGAATTTTTAAAATCTGAAGATTTATCGATAAAGTCGGAAACTTTATCTAGTTCTTCGTCGCCAGTAAATCCTTCACAAGTGACTATGACAGGACAAGGGCCACCACCTTGTATACATCAGGGATGTCCCAATCCTGCTATATCCAATAACGAATGGGAAGATGAATATTGCAGCAACGAGTGTGTGGTCAGCCATTGCAGGTTGGCCAAGAACATTATATTTGATTCTTCTCTATCTTAAATTAATTCATACATTTTATATAAAGAAGTATATGAAGTGGACAATCAAAGTTTGTTGCATCTTATTACATGTCTTTGCTGTACGTTTGATTGTATACTCATTTATATCACAATTGTGATATATTTCTAATTCACAGAGATTATTCTTATATATGTTTTATGACTTCTATTTATCTTGTATTTATACCTGCTTTATTATGTATTTCAGAGATGTATTCAACACGTGGGTGTCTTCAAATCAAAATCCTCAACAAAACTATTCTACAGTTAAATAAGTGTTCTATAAGAAATGAACTACAGCAACTACTCAATGGCCTCACAGCTTAATGGCCCGTTGTTAATCTGTAAAGTAAAATATTTAAATGGATGTATATATACATAAGCTGGTGGATGACAACTTTTTCAAGATTATTCATGCAGCAACAGAGATACACAGCATTAGAAAAGTTGGACGGATAGTTATATTAATGGTAATAGCATACAGATATGTTCTGTATGTATATGCGTGTCAACGAGAGAACAAGAAGACAAGAGAAAGGAGAAAGAAAGATAATGATGAAATAAAGATAAAATTGTTTCTTTTTAGAAAAAGAACTTAGAATATATATTGAAAAGCCTTATCCAAAAACTTATTACTCTGGCCAAAGGTCTTTGTTTGTAAGGAGTGTATTACGACTTGAGTAATTTAAATAAGTGTATTTATTTACACTTATATGAGAAGTTAAATAACAGCCAACTTTTTTATATTTTCTGATATTCCTTACTGTTAAGCAAAGTGTGCCAATTGTACAGGCATATTTGTTTCTTTTTTTTCTTTTTTTTAAATATAGATAGTATTTGCAGTTTTTAAAGTTCACCCCGAACAAAGACTAGTTTTCTTAATTGAATTATCTCAACTATGTTTCCTCAACTTTATACTTGTTATTTTGATATATCTAGTAATAAATAACACAGTACAAGCAGATGAAAGCAGTGTAAAATGTATTATAAGTGTACTACGTTCAATGTGTGTTTCGTTCATACTGTGAAAACAATGACTAGATAAAAAGAGGACTTATATAGCAAATTATTACATGCCATGGTCGTTAATTATCATGTTTTATTTTAAGATGTAAGATTTAAGAATAAAAATTATATCTATTATATTTCTTGATTAGGCATATATTTTTAATTGCTTGTAATTATAGATATCGTATTTGAACTACATATGTATTATACTTATATTGCAAGAATGAAAAAATAAAAATATGGAATTAGATATAATTTTAATTCAATTATATAATTCCATATTTTTATTTTTTTTTAAATTACATATATATATTATATATATATATATATACATATATATAATATATATATATATATATATATATATATATATATATATATATATATATGATACAAATTATATATATTACACACACACAACCTGCAAGAGACTACAAACACACACACATACATATATATATATATATATATATATATATATATAAAAATTATGTTTGCAATATGATTATAATTCATTACATGTAATTTCCCGAGTAAAAGTTTTTAGTCATTCTCATCTCTTGGATGTTGCATCGTAAGTATCATTTTATTTCTGTGAGTAGAAGAAATTTAATTTATTTTGTAATGTATTCTGATCTTTTGTGTTCTCCCTTCGCAAGAAAATTTATTATTCCGTTTCTGTTCATACAACATGGAATACAATCGACTGATAAACATACGTGAAGCATCCATAATCGTATAATACTGTTTTCACAAATAAATATACTATAATACTATTAGTCCATCACAGTTATAGAAGTTAATTACTATGCATTTAGATTAGGCCCATATAAGTAAAACGCGATTTAATTACATAATTTATTTTTATATTGATATTACAACAACCAATAAATAATACAGTACAGTTTTCATATATAAAATTTCATATAGTACACAAAAGAACGTGACATCAGAATGACATTGACAGCAAATGCAAATCTGATATTTTTTTAAACACATTAATATTACATTACATAAAATTGTTTCCATTTGTTTTTTATTAATTATATCTCTTCTGTTATTACTTTCGAAGAATGTATTGCCTATATGGATACGGCTAATATGGATATGGCTAATATAATTTAATACAAGTAGCCCAATCATATTAATAGATCATGGAGAAATGATTTCAAAATTTTTAAATAGATGAAAAAAAGAATATGTTGTGTCTCTCCAAAATTATTGAATTTGATTAAATCTGTCATCGCGATCAAAAAAATTACAAATATATATATATATATATATATATATATATATATATATATATATAT